TTTTGACTTTCAAAAAGTATCTGCAGACCAGCTTTGCAGTAAAGGATTCTGTTTACACACTGACCCTTCAAATAGTTCTAAGATTTTGTAAAAGGCTGTCAAACCAAAGAAAGGCTGTCAAGCCAAAGAAAGGCTGTCAAGCCAAAGAAAGGCTGTCAAGCCAAAGGCTCAGCAAACTTCTGTAAGGCCATTCTCAGACAAGGTTTGCACAGTAACTCAGGGTCATCTCAGCAGACACTGCTACAAACTACTCGAGTATCTCCATCCCAGGATCCACGACAGCAGCGCTCCGGGCTTCACACTCCYCTGTGATGCCTCCTCACATGCTGGCAGCCTGCTGGGGGGGCACTCCGGGTGTTGGYTGCCGTGGCAGGGTGTACATGGCCCCCAGGAATTGGTCAGCAATGCGTCCAGCCTCCCGGAGGCCGCTGAGCAGAGCSCCGTGCACCGTGGCCGGGTAGTTGCGGATGGTGTGTTCACCCGCGAAGAACAGCCGAGGGATGGGCTGGGGACAAACAACAGTCACAGTTTGCTCATGTGCTTTCACACTCTGCAGTAAATGATACTTTAAGGATGTTGCAATCACACCACAGTCTCCATTAACATGAATAGATAGCCCATATTGAACCTCTTTTAACCTGTCTATAAATCACCTAGAAAAAATCACCTATTTAATAAGCAATGCTGAGACAGAGAAGCAGAGGAGGGTAATGTCCCAGCTATATAGAAACAGCATTTAAAAGCTGTAATTATAACTCTACAGCCAAATTGCCAAATGTGTTAAAGAAGAATAATTTCTGATCCTGGAACATGAACTCTAGCACAGTAAGCAAACAAATACTTCAAAAATTCACTTAAATCAGCAGTTTCTCTTTWAACTGAGACCCAAATCAACTACCCACAGAATCACAAAAAGTAGGAAAAAAACCCAAACATTAATATATTACATTCTGTAGGGAATTTTATTCATAGCTGTGTGTATTAGYGACTTGTATCATTAGAACAAGAACTCAAATAAAGCCAAAGCCACATATCCTTTCCTGGCAGTGTTTCCAAGAGTGGCTGTGGCTTTCAAACTTAATTCCCTCAACATAAACTGGAGATAACTTGTGCTGTCATTGTGTTCACCCCACATTTGGAAGAGACCTTTTRATTCCTGTTCTTCTCACTAAGGCCTTCAACCTCTTTCAAATCACTACAACTCACTTAATATGGTGATGTACAAAAAAATATGGAGCACGAAACACAGAGGTATAATATTAAATACTCTGTTCAGACATAACCAAGCTGGCCTTCTGAATAAAAATGCTCTTTTTTTAGCAAACAAATGACCTCAAATCTGGGATGACAGAATTAATGGATGAAAAGATTAATTATTTTACAGGTTTTAATCATTCATCATAAGATGCAAGTTATCTAACTAAACTTGTGTCTTGATACGTATGACAATTACTCAGAAAAATCATTCTGCTTTGAGGTTTTTCTAAAAATAACTGGGACATTTCTCACCTGTGGAGCACCTGGAATGGCTGGTCCTGGGGTAATTGGCTGAGCCATCAAATCATAGTCATTTCCAGAGGATCCAGCTGCCACATAGGAGTAGGATCCCCGGGCCCAGGGGTCAGCACGCCAGCGGGACACCACGGTCTCCTTAGGCTGAGACAAGACAGGAGCTTCARTTGTTGAGACAGTGCAAGTTCTACAGTTTGTGACAAATACAAACAATGCAAATTGCAACGATATAAGGAACTTGGGCTGATGTTAATGGTGGAACTCCACATTTATATTCTATGGTAACACATACTAAGGTAAATCTTTGATGGTGATCCTGTAAGTCTTTCCAATATTACCAAACCCCACTGCACGTAGACCTCAATCAGAACTCAAGACTTTTTATAGCWGCACATTCACACTGTTTGTGTACTGTTTCTTCTGTTTCTTCTCCCATTATCAACACAATGACAATGCACTCTCCCTACCCTTCAGCCCAAGCCACTGCCTGTACTGACCTGGGGCACAGCGCTGCTGCCAAATATGCCTTTGAGAATGGCAAGGCACCGACCAACAATAACATCATCACTGATGTTCTCCATGATCCCTGCTGCTTCTCCTGCTACCAAGGCCAATAAAATTGGTGCTGGGGGAGGCAGGAGAGAGAAAACATGATTGAATTATTTAAATCGAACATTTAAATCAGACAAGTTGAACTTGGATGGACATAGATCTGCAGTTATGCCATGAGGTTAGAGACTAAACAAATCCAACAAAAGTAGTCCTAAATTTTCCACCATCATGTCAAAATAACAAGAAGAAAATGAACTCATATATGCCATGGTTCTATTTAGAATYATCAAGAGAACTGATGTATTAAAAAGTAAACAAAAACACCAGGAAGTACAGCATGCAGAAGAGATGGGAAGATTTCTTCAGTGAAGACATTGCTTATTTGACATAGAAGAATTCATATTAGAAGGTATTTAAGAGCCAACTATGCTGCATTTCAGGGAATTCAGTACCTTCCAAACTATCTAACTTAKGTATGATTAACATCAGCAGAGCAGCTTAGTGTAAGTACTTCTTTCATACAAATATCTAGATTTCTCCATTACCAATGCACATTCACATTAAATAATCTCAATGGAGTGAAARTAATGAGCAGTAGAACTATYTCAGAAAAGCAGCCATTCTGAAAARAAATYAGAAGTAAAATGGACAGGTATYRMATAAYTCAGCTGTCATGAGTTATCAAATCATCCCAGATTAGACAGACAGTCCCATGCAAGAGGTCTGGTTTCAAACTGTCAGTTCATCTTGAAAAACAACCAGGAAGTTGAGGTTTTGAAAACTAAGACTAAATTGGATGCTGGACTCATTGGCACAAGGTTAGTGAGATGGGAAGAGCTCAAACAATGTTCCAAGTGGMCAGAGAGAAACTCAATTTCAAATACATTTACAAACTAAGAAATGGCTYTGAATTTAGAAATGCAGCAAAGACAAATCACCCTTCTCTTGGAGAACTCAACACATCCTCCAGACAAAGCAGACAGTAGAAAAGACAAAACTTAGTAGTTAAGTAGTTTGAGAATATGAGTGCAACTAAATAGATGCTGAATGGAAGCAATCAAGATAACACTGGGAATGTCACAGGACAACTCCACCAAGGTGCAAGACAATAAAGTAGCTACAAAAGTGCAAGTGTTACAGTAGATAAGTAGCAATGCAATTTAACAGGCACAGCCTGGAACCCACCATCACTAAACTCACATTTACCTATGTGCTGCCCTAACCCACTACAGAACTGTTGGCAATCAGTGCTGTCCTCTGCTTCCATCTGAAAATACTCTATTATCATACCCTTATGTGAACACTTACAGCATCTTAAAAAGTGTCTTTTTCTAGATCTGAAACTATACAAATAAAACACTGGGAAAAGCAGATATGCACCACAGSTACCTTTGTACAGGTTCCAAAAGAGGAAAAGTTCTCCTCTGCTTGCAGTAGTGCTCCCAACATGGCCAAACAAATTGACACTTGGATCCCAGAAGACACGATCAAAGCACAACACAACCTAGAAAGAATGAGTATCAACAGTTAGGAAGAGCATAGGCAAGAAATAAAGACAATTGATGTTCATCACTGGACAGATCATGAAATGGAAATCTGGTGAATATACAGTACATATACATAATAAAGAGGCATATGCCTATAACAGCCTTTCCACAGGTTAGTGTGCTCTCAGAGTTAACCAAATTTCTGATTAACAAGTTCCATCAGACCTACTTCTGCAATTTAATTCTTTTAATCCTGTGTGAGAGATAGAATCTGAAATGTGGGTGGAATATGTCTTGTGGGGGAGAGGAAGAATGCATTTCCCACAGTTCTTTTGCTAGGATTTGATGATGAAAATTGTCTGAGGAACTGTAAGGGCCTCTTCTCTATCTCTGACCATCTATGGCCTACTACAGTTCCCCCAGTGCCAATGTACCTTGTTCAAGTTGCCAAATCCCATACGCTGCACTGCAGAAGTTTTCCACTCAGGAAGAGGTGGCACAAACTGAACTGCTGGAGGCTGCTGTTTCAGCACTCCCAGGGGCAGAGTACACAGCACAGCATCACATTTATAAATGAAGGTCTGGCTGGTAGATCGGGTATTTACAGCTATCACTTCACAGCCTGGAAAGGGGAGAGAAAAACAGTTTAATAGGCCAGGAGGCAAGAGCATTGAATTAAAAATTAAAGAAACTACCATAACCACATCAGGAAATATGGTAGCTTGGAGATAGCTTTACACTAACAGTACTTGTAGTCAAGTAATTACTGGCCACTAARCTCTATTCCAGAAAACACAATTAAGGTAGCATTTGAAAATGGCTTTACTGGGATAAGCCTAAAGGTTCATCCAGGTCAGTAAATATTATTTAAATATAACCATATATAAACATGTAGAGAGTGAGCCTCTAATTACATTACTCTCCCAGCTGACAGTTTCCCAAGCCCAATGTTTTGAAGAACAACAAAAAGATACATTCCTTCCACCACATTCATTTATACTTCTAATACTAGGTCCTGTGGTACCAAGCCTTAAGCAGTCCCAGACCTCTTATTCCAAATGCTTTAATCAATGAAGTAAAGAAATAAGAGAATGAATGTAAACGATCAGTAAATACAACAGAAAAAAAGTGTCAAGTAGGTCACAGAAATAACCAAAGAGCCCTTCAAAATGAATAAATCTCTAAGAACTACTTACACCACCCCAATAAGAAAGTGGCTGTTTATCTAACCCAAAACATGTAATGGGGTTTTACAATATCAGTCCTCACACCTACTTCCAGCAGCACTGAAATGCTCACACTCCCTCCMAGCAGTTTCCTGGAGGTTTCATGTACCTGATGCTGTATAGCGAACCTGTCGAACTGCYGTGTTTAATTTAATATCCAACCCTTCTGCTAAGGCTACAGGCACACAAGAATATCCATTCCTCACAGTCAAGTGACTGCCTGTGAATTCAAAGTCATCATCCTAAAATGAAGAGGCACAAAAAGCATGCATTCATAATGAAATCCCCTAAGTCAACAGAAAATAATCAACAACTGTACACAACGGCAAAAAATATTTCAAAAACTTTTTTTAATGAGCTAAATAAATGTGAAACTCCTTCTGATTATTAGACAATAAGTTTGGAAACTTTCAGCAGACAGTACTGTTAAAGGATTGTTTTGGCACTAAMAAAAAGTCATCTGGAATTTCATCATCAAATAATAATAAGAATTCAGTACCTGCACAAAAGCAGATGGCACTTAATAGTTAGAAACTCTTAACATCAAGAAACTTTCATAAGAATGAAATAAACATAGTTCAAGCTTTTAGTGAATTGCTGAATACTGACTACCTACCTGGTCCCAGTGCTTCAATGAGAGYGTAGAAAGAGGTGTAGCATTAGCAAATTCTAGGTTTGCAAAATGCCAGTCAAGTATTTGTCTGTCTCTTGATGACAAGTAAACATCACTAGAAAAAAAAAAAGACATTTAGTTTGTTAGAACAGGATATTGTAAATGCATTGAAAATTTCTTCAGTCATTTTTGAGTCTCTTAGTGCAGAAATAAAAACATTAAAAAACAACACAAACAGATTTGTTTCAAACATGTGGACCTCTGACATGAAAGCTGAATAACAAAACTCAGAAAATTCAAATTTTTAAGGTAGAGTTCATGTAAAATACTCAAAGGGGAGCTAGAAACTTCAGAAATAAAAAAATTACATAAATAATGGCTTAAGTAGCATGCACAAGGACAACAACAAAATACCTAGTAAAATTGCACAAAATAATAACATTCTGTCAATACAAGTAGGATTGTATGCTATGATTACWGAGAGGTATTTAAGACCTTAAATGCCTTTTGAGATCAAACACTGATTACTGCCAGGATTTCTACAGAATCATCCTAGTTCAAAGCCACCTTTTCTGTTTGAGTCATCTTTAGAACTGAGAAGGTGAGTTCTAAAGCTGAGGGAGCTCAGACTCTGTATTTGTACCTTTCTAACCCCTTAAGTTCCCATAACAAAAGCATAATGTAGCATTTTTGAAACTCAGGGAGAAAGTAGTAAAAGAGCTGCTTTCTTATTTTTTAGTTTGTATCTTTACCTTGGTGGATTGGCTTCAAGTTCTTGTAATTTCTCTTCCAGCTTTCCTTGTGTTTCTGCCAATTCATCATACTCCTATTAAGATTAAAAGCTAAYATTAAAAYGAGTTTACATGTAAAAGGACTTGAAGACATAATTTAGCATCAGACTGGATCTAATCTTGACAGAAATCACTAGAAAATTAATGGATTTACTGGAAGCTAGATCAAGTTTATTTTTTCAATATTTAATCCAGCAAATTTTGCTCTTCTGCTGTTTGTATATACAGAGCTGTGTGTCACACTGATTAGTTTGGTGATATTTCAGGAATTTAAACACTTGGAACTGAAGAACATGAGGGTCCATGATATTTTAAGGGTTCCTATGCTACTGAGAGCTTCATTTTCCATGAACTACAGACACAACTGAGCTTCCAAATAAAGGCACATATCTGTCTTTTAAGCAAGTTGATGAAAAATGATCCTCAATTCTAYCTGACCTGGTTTAGCACCCAGGTCTGTCAATATGAGAACAGTTTTTACAGTTTCATTTTTAAGGCACACCTCCACAGCAAGATATTCCCAGAGAAGGGAAGTAACTCTGATTGTCAATACAGAGGTCTTTACATGATAATCTTTGGTTAAAAAGAAGTATTTTATTCAAGAAACCACCTTTATTTATCTTAGAGAAAAGGCATCCTTCYTCAAATGCAGATTTTATTTCCAGACTACTGTGAAATCCAGCTGTATTAAAGATCAAATCTGACATWAAAAAGTAATTTTCAAAACATTACAAGCTATCTGACATGAGCCAGCACAGACTAATCTAAGACTGATTTAGTTCTCACCAGCTAAAGATACTCAATGTAGAACTATCAGTGTTACAAACCAGAGTTATTGACAATCACATTCTCTTGAAAGCACTGGATCATAGTGAGAAATGTGGAAAYATTTCTATTGGCTAATTTWGTCAGGCTGCTGAAGTCCTGAGAAAGCAGTCTAACATGCTGTATGTATGCCATCCTTTACCTTGCAAAGCGCAGTCAGATCTCTGTGCTTACTTTTCACAAGGAACTCTGCTGTAATATCTCGAGGTGGCTTCACYTCTGCTGCTTCCTTATACTGCTGATGAAGTTCTTTAATCTTCTCCTTTAAATTGACCATCTTTTTAGATACAGAAGGAAAAAGAAGAAAGAAAGGGGAAAAAAATATGAGGAAGGCAGATTTCAACAAGTTACTGTGTAAACTGGATATTCACCTAAAACTATGCCATTATACCAAAGAGATTTCCTGGTTTTGGCAGGTATCACTTATATGGAATTCTTCATCCAAAAAGCCACAGTAACCACCACCAATCCCCAAACCACATGGCTGAGACCAAACATTGATTTCTTACAATGTTGCAAACGTTTTTGGAGAAACTTCATAGAGAAGATGTCATTTACCATAAGCAAAAATAATGCAGTTGGCCTAACCCACTGTTTCTGTACTACAAATCAGATGTGTAGTGAAGACAGTAAACATTTTTAAACAGCTCCCAAAACCCTCAGCCAGTATCAGCGTCTCTTAAAGAAGATATGAAACATCATTGTCTATTATGTGTCTGTCTTCCTCTTTTCTTTTCCCATATTATCTTTTRTGGTTTTTTGCCTAATCAATTTTTCTCCTCCTCAAGCAGAAGACACCTTTATTCTAACAGGACTTCCAATCAGGTCTTAAGCTAACGAGATATTTTAAGAASAGCATTAATAGCAACTTCCTGATTTTTTTTTTGGACATTTTTGTGTATTTGCCACTTTCTGAGGAACACAACACTTATCATCTTGTTCTAAATGTCATCATCWGACCTTGTTAAGAAGATCTTTCAATTCCTCCTGTGTTTTCACAATTTTTTTCCAGTGTTCAATCTGCTCATCCTTCACATGCTTCTCTTGCAATCTGGAAAAGGTGAGAAGTGAGACTCAGCTCAACATAAAATCCTTGTGTTATGAGAAAACTTCTTATCACCATCTAATTAGTGGAATGCAATAAAATCACATCATGGGATATTTCAGTAAATACTTGTATGGCAATTGGAAAATTAATGCAAGTTTCTGTAAATAAGGGATACAYGACTAGCTAAAATGTGAGTCTGAAGTCACCTGCTGCTGTTAAAGGCCATTACAAYTGCCATTATCTTTCCAGCAGTGTTAGTGTGCTGTATGCACACCAATCACACTGAGTCACTGTAGCAATGACTTCCAGGAAACTTTCAAGAAGAGTGGTTTTCTCCTTTAAGCATCTGTAGGATCAAGCAGTTTTATTAAGAGGGTAATGCTTACCTCTAGGAAKCACAGTAATTGTTTCAGGTATCTTTTGGAAATTCATCCACAAAATAGGGAAGTCTACCACAAAGAAAAAACTCACTTACTGTATGACAACCTCCAGAGCCTGACCTAGGGAGACAGGCTTATTATTGAGAACATTAAAATCCAGCTGATGACTGAGGTAGGATGTGGCTTCCAAAAGACGATTAAATTCTTGCTCCACCATTTCATCTTTCTCTTTTGGAACCTAGGATACAAAAGAACAAACACTGTTCTTAACCTACTCATAAAAAATAGTGTTGCTGAGAACAATCCTTGTAAAAAAATTACAACACCCTTAGCTGTCAAATAGGCAGACAGAAGACATTATGAAYTTATTAGATTTCCTTACTGGAAAGGAAGGTGTGTTCATCAAAGCTACAGGAGTTTGCCAAAAGGCCACTCTGATGGTAGGATGGCTCTACATAATCATAAGGCTTTAGAAGGCTTGGCATAGCTCAGTGAAGAAGACAGACAGTAACWTATCTTCTGGAATGGTCACTGTGCCTAAGAACTACCAATACTGCTTTTCTAAAATGATGGCACAAACAGTGCAGAAATAGTGGCATTTGATTGTATTTGATAGTGGTATTTGATACACATACTGTATTTAAGATTCCTCCAAGTCATTCCTCTCTAGTAGCTGCTGCCAGTCAATATTTGATAACAAGTTTCTAACTCCATGGCTATGTAACGATGTAACTTGCAACCATTGTGTCCAAAAACATGTGGGTTTGATTCTAGGTAAAACATGTATTTCACAATTATAAGACTATTTTCCTATGTGTACCAGGAAGCTTCAATAAGGCTACTGAGCATAGCAGAGACATAAGGGAAGCTTCAAATGACAATTCCTAAATGCAAACTCTTTTGTCACATACCTGTGATATATCCACTGCTGACTTAATCTTGGCATTCTGGTACCACACCTGAACACCAGCACCTACTTTACCAGCATGGGCCCACACTACATGAGTGTGAGATTCAGCATTAAACTGGGATCTATAATTTCTATCTCTAATAGTACTCCTTAAGATTAGAGACAGAAATAAAGCTAATTAATTGCAGCTCTAGATTATTATTGCTCAGCTGTTGCATGCATTCAACCAGTTGGCCAATTCTTTAAAAGTACAACAGCCAGAATGAGCTTCTATTTCAGGGAAAAGCAGTAGCAATGACAGAAGGTAGAGTGCCAGCACAGCAGAGAATTGTTTCAAAGGGCAACACAGATGACTAAAGAAAAACAGTAAGGAATTTGGGAAAAACAAACAGGAACTTGACTTCCACAAAACCTCAAAAAYGCAAAGGTAAAAACTCATCTGGAAAGAGCAGGTTTTAGAAGAATATGTGTAGGTGTGCTACAGTATTACTGAAATGCCTAAAAAGGGACACACACTTTCCTTCTTCCCTCTCTCTGGAAGCCATCTCCTACTAGATCAATAACCTGGTAACAAACATACTTGAGATATTAGTTCTTATTGAAAAGACTCATGGAAACAGTATCAGACTTACAGCTTGTCCATTTGCTTCGTAAAGTGGACATTTTTGTTTGATCTTTGCCAATTCCATATTTACTTGTTTGCTGACCACAGCCATGGGATTTCCTCCTGGAAAAGATTTCATACAGTTAACAGAGATGCCTATAAAATTTATCTGCAATTAAACAAAAACTCCACAGTTAAAGTGATTTCAGAGACTAAAACACCAACTTCAGGGAATGCATTCCAGCCATCCAGTGAAACACTGCCAAAGGTCTGCTCTTCACAGTGATTCCTGCAATGAGGGTTGTTTTTCTACAACTGTGCAAGTTCAGTTCTTTGTCTGGAACCAGTTTTCTGGGTTTTTTCTTCAATTTAATGAGACTAATCATGAGGCACACCCCAAATTTAGGCAGTCAGTAAAAACTKGAGTTTATTATAGGTTTTATAATATTTTACCATTTCATTACATTGCTGAAGGATATTCCACATTAAACACCTGCCCATCTTAGCAGAGTAACCACATCAATAACTGATGCCATCCATAAAACAGTAATAAATAGGAAGACATTTGGCTTGTTTGCTATTATTTTCCTAACTATTTTTGGAATCACTTGGAGAAAGTGCATTTGGGGTTTAAACTTTGAAGAAGGGCTTTCTCTTTAGAATGGCTCTGCATTTCCCCTCCTCCCTTGTCTTCCCATTGAAAGAATACATTCTGTCTCTTTAGGGTCTCTCTCATCATATAACTTTGCTATTTATGAAAACTATAATTGCCAAAAAGGCTGAACTAGAACACTCACTTTTTAAAGGAGTTAAATATACCCAATTCTTTTGGCTATGAAAGGAAATAGCATTAAGGTTTCACATTTACAGCATCTTGCCCCACAATTTTCCTCCCCAGTCCATTTGATTTTGAAAAACTTACCAAGTCCTGTTACCACCATTGCTCCTARATCAGCAACGTAGTTTCCTTTGCGAAAGGTAGCAACTCTTCCTCCTACTCGGTCCTTTTAAAAGTACAATATAATAAGCATCCAGTTACATTCAGTAAGACATCTCACTGAAGTATAATCACTGAAGCTGCTACAAAATATGGTGCAAGYGTTCTCTCAATAAACAGAACGTATATTTCTCCAAAAATCTCTCCATTAAAAAAAATAAGAGATTCCACTTTGGGTTGAATATGAAGAATACCTTATTTGTGAAAGAACAAGCAGCTAGTTTACATACCATAAAATGTAGCACTAAGTAATTTTAAAGTCTCTGTTAAGCAAACAGTAATAGTTAATCTAGGCTTAAAATCCCAGCTCATCGTGTATAGCAGTTCCAAGTCATGATTATATTTAACGAGCAAGTTCTCAAATATGGACTTGCATTCTGCTTTCTGGTGAAAAATTCAAACCATGTAAGAAGGTTGTTCTAAGCTGTTCCTGGTGTAAGCACACAACACTAGCACCTGACTATCCAGCCCACCCCTGAGAAAGCATCAGCCAGCTCCCAGCAAGAACAGATCCACTCAGTTRCTCGAGAGACAGGTTCAGTATCAACATCCATCCTGACAGCCTAGAACACCACACACACTCACCCATCCTGGGCATGATGCTGGGACACAGCCCTGCTCTAGTACTGAATAGGGTTACTGGATAAGCTGCTATAGAGAAGTAAAATAGCACAGAAATTCATACTCTGGCTTCCAGAACTGTGACATCCATTCCAAAACTCTGCAACTGGCGAGCTGCTGCCAACCCAGAGACTCCAGAACCAATAATGATCACCTTTCCTGTCTTCTTGGCTAAAGAAAGAGAAAAATCAGCTACAGTAGTCCTTTATATGTGCAGTACTAATTGCAAGCAGTAATGTTAAAGTTGCATTTAAGAGATACCAAGAACAAAAAGCAGCTTTATTCCCATGAGTAGTTCAGACAGAACAAATGCTTTAACAAAAAGAAAACTGAAGTAATTCTGAATGAAATACTTGATAATTTTTCTTAATGAGACAGGTACAAGGAAAATGCACTAGCAGTACATTTGGAGCAAGGAAGAAAACAGGAGAAAAAATGCTTCCAGACAACTGTCTGAAGAAAAATGTAATTTATATTAATTACTGGGGACAAAGTATCATAGTTTTATTTCTTTCTGCCCCAGAAGAATAAAACTTAGAGAAGTTCACTTGCAAAATTCAAGAATCAATAAGCATGTAACAGATCTAAGTACAATACYGTGTTTCTGACTTTAATTATTCAAATGAGGAATCAAGATAACTCATTAAAAACCAACAGGCACTGATTTATCTCCAGATGATTTGCCAACATTCTTCCTCTCAAAGTGGAAGTAAATAYATGGCTTCTCTATGCCAAAATAAAACACATTAACATCAATAGCCAGATGGCTTTCCAGCCTTTTTTTTACCTTCTTAGCGCTGTAATTCTAAAAAGAGCACTAAAAACTGTCCTAAGAAATCACAGAACAGTAAAACAAAACTTCAGTTAGAAACAATATTCAATTTTCTTACTTGGAAGGGGCTTGACTCTTTTGTAAATCCCAAAGTTGATCAGCCCATGACGCTCCAGGTAGCTGTGAACCCTGTGAACGAGCACTGTGTCACCTGAAAGAATGTGTAAGGTTTTAAAATTATTCTGTATGTTCAGCAGCATGTACTGAGGACATATTCACAGCAGCAATCCGGTCAAGTCCCACTAAACACATCCCTTCCTACAGCTCCACAGACCTATTGACCAATCCAGCTTCCTGAAGATGCCTGAGTATAATTTGTTGAAAAACACCCATTCTGTACTGCAGTTTTGAATCATGCCTGAAAAGCTATAGAGGACATTAAGTGCTTCTTTTAATCTAGTGCAGAACACCTTTTCTGAAACTGACTGCAAAATCCCAAAATCGTGACACACAACTGTGATGTGATTTGCTGGCATTACATCAATCCTTACTGTAGCACTAAATTTTCTTTTTTATTTTTAAAAGCACAGTAATTCACTATTTTGCAATCCTTGATAGTGTATTTGCATTCATTTCAGCATAGTTTTCTCCTTCAATTATTTTTTATGGCTCCCCTCCACCTCTCTCGAGTTTATTGGGATCTTGTTTGAGAAGGGTGGAATAATCTCCATTTGCAAGCAGTAACTACTCACTCATTCACTGCCTTCTGGAATCACATCCAGTCTTAAGTCTTATGCAATTTCTTAATGCCTCCCAAAAACCATGATTAATAACATTTAAAAGCTGAAAACCACTGAGAAGCTGTAGCAATCTTAAAAGCCACAGTAACAACCCATCTTTTTAGCAGTGTTTAGGAATCCTGCTAGTGGAATTTTTTTTACCAGACAAATGAACTCTTCACAAATCTGAACCATGAGTATAATGCAGTATCCCAGGCTGTACATGACCACTCCTGGAGCTCCACTAACAAGGGACCAATCTGAAGGAGCTTTTCCCCAAACAGAAGTGAAAGAGAAAAGCAATGATATGTACAGTATGCTTTTGGCAATGAAAAGCTTGACTTACTATTATAAGGTGCTTCTAATTGTTGGATAGTTGCTTCAAATGTCAGCTGAATCTTTGGGTTATCCAACCAGAGCTGCAGCTGTTTTTAAACAAACAATACAACACATCATATTAAGCAATACAAGAGGAGTTTTACAGGTGTGTGTTTCCTATCAAATTCTGTCAGCAGATGAAACACCCTAATGAATTAAACGTTGGAAGAACAACCCAAGCCACACTGAACTTGGCCTTCCAGTGTTCTTTAAGGTGCAATAAAGTCTGTTTGAAATTCTCACATCATTTCAAATAAGTGGAAACGCACCAAGGTAGTGCAAAGATGTGTGTGGCTGGCAACATCAGCCAGCATTGACTTTTTGGCATCAGATTTCATGTTTTCATAAGAGTTACAGCAGTATTTATCATGTTACAAGGTTTATTTATCTCTGACATTTAATGATCCAGTCAATCTTCACCAATAAGACACTGCCATGGACTACACTGGCCACATATACACAAAAAGGCATATTTACAGGATGGTTACAGTTCAAAAATCGAGCTGGAAGAACTGTCTGTGATATGTTAGTAAGTCAATTCATACTAGAACAGAACTATTTTCCCTTTGTAGCATGAGGCAGGAGTTAATGAAGAATTTTACTGTTCCATGCCTAGATCATACACAGCATCTCCACATCATTTTACATTCCATAATTAGTCATCATTTATTTGGGTATTTCTCTAGAGCTGCAATATTGAGCTCCACAGTTCCTTCATAGCTGTAGGAAATCCTACAAATACAATGAAGGATTAAGAAATCATTTCCATATATGTGGGAGGCCATTTGAGGCAAATTGCTAATTTGCAGCTCTGCCGAGCACTGGGTTGTTCCATAGTCTCTGCTATCCTCACTGGAAGAGATCTTCTCACAAGCCCTCCTCAAACAGGAATCCTGCTCAGGAACTTCTCCAAGCTCCTCTGTAGTGAATAAGGCCTACAGACCAGCAATGCTGCTTTTCCCTGCCAATATCTTTCCCCAGTAATTCCTTAGTTTCAGTGGAAGGCTTTCCTGCTTCTAACACATACACAGAAGGATTACTCACTACTCTTTTTGTGCAAATTGTTTGCCAAACTTTTGTATATGCTTTGGCCCTGTTTTTATGCATCTCATGATTTCCCAAGAGTTACAACCCGAGTTAGAGGGAAATTTTACAGGAATAGCAGAAGTTGTACTCTTAGCATGAAGATGTCCACCACACATAAATAACTTCTTAAAGTTACTAAGTATTGGGTGTTACTGCGCTCAATACCCTGTGATATTTCTTGATCATCTTTAGTCTGTGAAATAACTGAGTGGTGCACAAGGTGTTTTGTCTCTTAACTAGGGTAACACTAGGCAATTTTCAAAACATTTCTTGCTTTCCTACTATTAATTTTTCTAACATGACTTCAGTTTTCCAAAATACTCTTTTCAAAATACAGGATAAAGCCTTGATCCCTATTTTGGATATTGTAAATACACTYTTCATGCTGCTCACAGCCCTGCTTTGATCAAGAACTGAATAGCACATTTCTTAACAAGAATTTCTTAACACTCTTAAGAGTGTGACAGGATGCCAGAAATGAAACCCTGCTGCCTCAAAAACAAAAATACCATAAATTGCTAGGCATGGTAACTGCCAAAAAGTCTTAGCAAGGTACACAAATTTCCTACCCTTTTTTCACCAATACTTTTACAACAAACTTACGGTGCGGTTCCTGATGTACAGAAACACCTTCTGAGTCTGCTGTGGCCCACTGATTATATCAGGGAAGCAGGCAGCTTCTTGAGATGTCATACGRTCATGTGGAAGTCTACTTTGGAAAGCTGCACCCTCCACACCTAAAATAAAAAGACAAGTAGTCTACAGGCACTGCAAAGGAACACTACCCTTCCTAGCCAGTGCATTCAGCCATGAGATGATATGGTGGCCAATTTAATGGGATGCTTTCCTTTAGTCCTTTTATTTACTTCTGCAAGGCATACAGGTTTCCAAGTCAATGGTTCCTTGAATTACAGGTATCATCTAAAGATAATGAAAAGGTTAYGCTACACRGGAGATAAAAYAAGCAAACAAAAACCCCCAAAAAWMAA